GTTTTAGTGGTGATGAGTATACAGTTGGAAGATCTGAAAGACCAGGTTAAGTATAGATTGTCATGTAGAAAACCTATGTGGTTGCTAGGAATTGAAAATGACTTGACGGTACATAATCAAATATATTGACTTGGTTCCAGAGACTGGCCTAGAGTTGATATTTATTTATTTATTTATACATACATACATACATACATACATACATACATACATCACATTTATATAGCTGTCCATCTCACAAAGCGACTCTGGACTTTGTTCCTTTTGTTCCTTACAATCCTACCTAGCACTATTTTAATTTTATTCAAGCTTGTAGCCTGTTTCATGACTTTTGCCTTGGTACCAGAGAAGTCTTTTAAAAGCAATCTTTACTAAAGGACTTTTTGATTTCATATGTGACATGACTTGACTACAGCCCTTTTTGTATTCTTCCGGTACTTGCAGAAAGTACATATTTAGGAATTCCTGGCTGTTTAAGGAACAATATTAGTTATTAGTAGTTATGATCTTGAACTAATCACGACCATTTCCTGTTTCTAAATTTGCTTTTAAAGTAGTAGTTTGAAATTCTTTTGTCATGACTAGAACTATGCATAGTTCACAAATCTGTATTTGGCTACTTGCATATGTTCTGGAACTTATCCATGCTAGCTTAAAATATTTTTGCCTCCAAGACTCTCAAGGGAAAGTTGTACACTGCATCTCTTCTTAATTAATCCATAAGTAATCCAGAAGAGACAGACTTTAGGATCTCCATTTGTTAAACAAAGGATTTTGTTATTGTTCAGATTTTTCTGTTTTTCTTTTGGGACTGTCAGTTTAGTTTCCCTTTCTCCAAATGTTGATTTCTCTAGCACCACCTTCACTATTATTTTTAGTAAATACTATTTCTCTCCTCTCCACCTTTCCTTTTTTTAGGTTAGAATATTTAGAATTAACGTGCACTCTACATGCAAGGCAACTGGCATATTAGGCAAACCATTTCTTCCTCTTTAAAAATGAATTAATGGTTCCCTGTGCTTTCTTCTTTATTGAAACTAAACTTGTTAAACTATTTGATGCAGATTTCCCATTGTTTGAAAATGTGCTTATATCAGTGTTCATCACTGATTTTGCCCACTGTACACTTAATATGTGCACTAAAAAATCCTATGAATGAATGTAAGTTGGTAGTGCCCTAATTCCTCTGATTCTACATTTTCAGATAGAGATGCAGTGTAATATTAAATATGATTTTAACTTTTACATTGCAATGTAGCAAAATGGGCCACTTAGCTGTAGTCCAGGAATTCCCAGTGATGAGTTGCTACCTTCTGAGTTCTGGGAGCTCATCTCCATATAGACTAGAGCTTGCTGTTGAAGCCAGAGAAATGAAGAGGGAGGCTGACCAAAGGAGGCATAGCTATGTCTTACTGACTCTGAGATTTCCTTTCCTCAACAGGTGAGCAAGAGAGAGCCAGAGGAGGAGGAAAAAGAAGAAAGTGCAGACACAGCAGCCATAGTAGTTGCTTGGCTGATAGAAGGATGAGTAGAGTTTGTTCCAACATCAGTGAGAAAATTGAAAGCTGCATGAGCAATGTCATACCCTGCAATATGTTCAGAGAGAGTGTTCCAGCATCATCTCCATAGTTAAGGAGCTCATCAGTGACAACAACTGTCAGGTAGATTTAACTTATTTTTTCCTCCATTCTTTTGGCCCTTTGTTAAGTAATAGACTGTATTTTGTTGAAAAGTTTAGCAATAGTGGTAGAACCATCATTCTATACTGGTGGTATATCATGGTTATAATTGTGCTGGTAGTATAAGAACATTAGAACACCCTCTGTGTGAGGCTTCTGTTTTTTCTGTGAGTTATGCATAAGGCCTCTGGGATACAGTACATATTTTACATATTTTTATTTTAAATATAATAAATAAAAGCTTTTATCAGGTAAGTAAATAAGAAGTGGAGTCCATCAAAGATTTGTGTTGGGACTTGTTCTCTTTAACTTCTTAATACATTTTCTTTACTTCTGGTTAAGAAGTCAGCTAGTCAACTTTATGGATGATACTAAATTACTTAAGATGATTAAAGAAACACAAAAGTGATTGCAAAGAGTTCCCGAGGGATCTTTTTAAAACTGAGTGAATTAAATGGCAAATATGATTAAGCAAATGTAAAGTGAAGCACACTAGGGCAAGGTCTCTAACTTCACATATACAGGTGAAACTCGAAAAATTAGAATATCGTGCAAATGTTCAGTTATGTCAGTATGGCAACTCAAAAGGTGAAACCA